CAGGACATGGGTTATTCTGGATGCACGAGATATTCAGAAGGTGAAGCAACTGCTAGTGTGCTATGTATCCAAAAGAAGCAGATCTGCTTGAGGATCAAGTCCCAAGGATCAAGAGGAGAAAGTTTTCTGGGTCATATATTCCAGAAAGTGGGCAGTCTATGGACTTTCAAGGTAGAAAGCATTGGAAAGGGTTGGAACAGGGCAAATGGGTGACTATCCATATGGGATGGGCAGGAAAGAAAAGACATGAGAAGGGCAGGTAAACCCTAGGTTATTATAATTGTCTAATGATGTAAAGTTATGGATAGCTATGAAATAGAAAATGAGTTACTCAAAGTAAGGAATCCTAGAGCAATTAAGCGGGCAGTTACCTTAATACACTAAAACCCCAATTGTCCAGATGAATGGGGGGTGGGGTGGGGGGGATGGGATATCCGATCTGTCAAGCCAGAATTTCCTGGTAACTGTAATTATTAATTATCGCAAGTGAGAGACCCGGGTTTGATTCCTGGGCGGGGTGAAATGTTGGGCAAGTTTCCTTCGTCCACATGCCTCTGTTTACCTGGCAGAAAGTAGGAACCTGGTTGTTTGTCGATTGGCGGATCGCTTTTCTGGGGGAATAATCCCTTAAAAAAAATTGGGTCACTCAATCCATGACTGTTTGTGAGACACTGCTGTGTGCAATTGGTTGCCGCGTTTCTTCCACAAAATATACAGTCATTTCAGTTTACAGTGTATTCTGTGAAGCGCTTTGAGACGTCTATAAGACGTGATACGGTCCTATATCAAATGCAAAAATTATTATTATTATTACAAAGTTGATATCCCTGCTCACTGTGAAGGTAGCAGGCACGGTGAGGCAGTAGCGAGTTAAGAGAATGGGCCAGCGGGAATCTACACGCGAGCAAGTGTAGTTTGTTTTTTAATTTCTGTTTTGGGCCCAATCTCGTGAGGTTCTGGATACCTGGAAGCTGGGCGTTTATTATATCACGAAAAGGTGTGGATGAAGGCAATTCAGTCCTTCTACAATACCAACACTATCGTCCTTACGGTAATAAAATGAGTCCAGAGAGACATCCTCAGTTAACCCGATCCAGCTGTTAATTGTCTTGTGATGTCTGTCCTGAAATTGCCCTTCACAATCCTAAAGCTGCCACTGTGCCCTGCTTCCTGACATATCTGAAAGTTTTGTTCCAGTTATACTTTATCCTATTTACCTCTAAAAGGTGCTATCTGAGATGGCATCTCTTTCCAAGCTCAATAGTCCTCTGTGTCTAGAATTTAACCTAAAATCTCATCCCTGTAACACAAAGCATCAAACGAGTTGCTCTCCTCATCTCTAAACTATGCCCCGAGGCTCTGGAACTCCCTTCCTCACTCCCTTCGACTCGTTCCCTCCCTTCCTATTTTCAGGTCTCTGCTGAAGACCTTTCTTTTCGACCGCACCTTTGGTCACCTTCCTCCCCTTCCCCCTGGCTCGGCACCGGTATCCATTGCTGTAAAGCGCTCTGAGAAGCCGTCCGGCGTGGAGGGCACTATATAAATCCAAGTTGTTGTTGTTGTTAAACTGTTTCTAGCTCTCTCATATTGTGGGATTTAGACTGAATGCATTAGACTGAATGCAATATTTCAGATGTGGCTTAAATGTAGCACTAAACAACTTGAGTAGTATTTTGGGAGACCTGAACTCAACTGTTTGACAATGTAGTCCAACATCCAAATCCAAGGATTATTATTGTTTGCCTTGTTTATTGCTGCCTCATATGTTTGGATATGGCGAGTGACACATCAATTAAACCCCTCAAGTCTCTTTCTATTTCCCCTTAGCAACTTCTGTCTCAGCATGGAATGCATGTATCCGTATGGAAAATTTATTGTTGATCAGCCCAGGTCTTGGCTGCCTCCTCTGGTTCTAGGTACAAGGAACGGGAGAGCTCTTCAGTACAGACAAATGTACTAATAAGCGCTCTGAGACCCTACCCCACGTGAAGGGCACTATATAAATGCAATTTGTTGTTGTTGTTGTACAGACCAATCGAAGGGAAAAGACTTGATTGACTGAAAGGCCCGTTCACATTGTTTGTTATTTTTGACATTTGTTTCCAGTACCTTTCAAACAATAGAACCGTTATCACCTCCTCCCCATACACACCACACAACGGTGGGCTATAGCCTTGGCCAATAGAAAAGTGGGGGCACAATTTTTCTGAGGCATCTGCTACAAACAGCCCTCCGCTAAAAATACAGTGAACTCGGCGCCTCAGGCCTCTGTATGTTGCTGCCGGCTGTTTACTCGATGCTACTGTGGGCTGAGCAGCTCCGAACGTGCATGGCGGTGCAATGTGAGCATGAAATGGGCTTTGATCGTCTGTGTGTCTCTCTCCTCTGAATGTATTTGTTAGTGTGTGTCTCTTTCTGTGTCTGTGAATGTATGTGAGTGTGTCTCTCTGTGTCTGTGAATGTCTGTAAGTGTGTCTCTCTGTGTCTGGGAATGTCTGTGAGTGTGTCTCTCTGTGTCTGTGAATGTGTCTCTCTGTGTCTGTGAATGTCTGTGAATGCGTCTCTGTGTCTGTGAATGTCTGTGTGTCTCTCTGTGTCTGTGAATGTGTCTCTTTGTGTCTGTGAATGTCTGTGAGTGTGTCACTTTGTGTCTGTGAATGTTTGTGAGTTTGTCACTCTGTGTCTGTGAATGTCTGTGAGTGTGTCTCTCTGTGTCTGTGAATGTCTGTGAGTGTGGCATTCTCTGTCTGTCAGTGTATGTCTTTCTCTGTGTCTGTAAATGTGTCTTTCCCTGTGTCTGAGGGTGTGTGTCTTTCTCTGTGTCTGAGTGTGTGTGTCTCTCTGAGTATCCGTGAGTCTCTCTCTGTGTCTGTGAGTGTCTGTCTCTCGCTATGTGAGTGTGCGTCTGTGAGTGTGTCCTTGTCCCTGTGTGTGTGTCTCTCTGTGTCTGTGTGCAGTGGTGGCTCTGAGAGCAGGACGTTGTGACCAAGCAGCTTGATTCACAGCCAGCAGAAGGTTCCTGTGCTCTACCGACAGTTTGCCTACAAATACAGCCATTGTACTTTAAAGTAAATCCTGTTGAAAAGCACTTACATTTTTTGGTAACGTGCTAAGGCACCAAATCAAATGCAAGGATTATTATTATGCTGATTATTTTTTTTAACATTCAAGTGTTGGTATATAACATCTAAGTGGAGTTTGTAACATCACTACATTTATAACACTATGTTTGGAGCTGTGACCTCTCAGGATGGAGGCTTATGTGGAATCCAGTTTTGTCAAAATACATGCCAGAGCATTAACACCTAACTTAACTGTGCTGGTCACATGAGTCAAAAGATTCTTCCTTATGGGATCACGAGAAAGCATCAATACTGCCTATCAACAGATCTAAAGAAAACACAGGCTTTTAGGCAATAGTTTTCCCATTAGGTTTTCTATCTAGTAATTCCATTTATAGTAGTCAATTTACTTAGTCTTTAATCTTAACCTTGCATGTAAAACTACCGATCGCCTATGATAATGCAATTAAATTGTAGCACGGAATAATCTATTCCATTTGTTAGCCAGTCCAGATGAAATTACTACCTCATTCTGACAACTTTAAGAAGCAAGACCTTTTTTTAAATTAATAATTCTGATGACTACTGATTCTTTTTGGTTAGCCAGATATACAGAAACCCTTTCTCATACTTAAGAGTATCCAAACTAAACATAGTACCATATATGCATGGAAATTTTCCTTTGACTGTAATGAAAGTGGGCAGTCACTCCCCAAGGGACATATCCCGTTTACCTAATCCTGGAATTTAATAGGCAGTGATTGCAAGAGTTAAGTCCTGGGGACCTTAGTGTCCATTGAGGTACTGTTGGAGTTTAACCAGCCAAAACCATGTAGCTTGATATTGTGAAACTGTCTGGTAAGATACCCACCACTTTTCCAGCCAGGACCATCCTGCCCCATAAACTTGACCCAAAGAATTACCACTATTGGTAATCAGTCCTTAAACATCTAACAAACACAGGTTTGAGCCCTTGCAAGGTAGATACTCAGCCAGCAAAACAATAATTTAGGATTGCTTTTATGTAGTTATATCCCTTATGGAGGTGCTCCAATCCACTAATCACACTTGATTTGCTTAATGACCACTTTAGCCTCTTGCTATGTTTGGTCACCAACCTGGTGTCACCTGCAAGCTTAACTACCTTACACTGAGCTTGCAAGTCCAGGTCACTGATGTACACAAGGAACAGAATGCACCCCACTTAATATTTCCCTCCATTTAACTTAGATCCCCAAACTAACTTGGCTTTCTTCCCAATTTTGAAGCCATATCTTGGCCCTGATACCCAGTGACCTCAGTTTATGAACGAGTCTTTCATTTGGTACTTTGTCAAATGCTCCTTGGAAATCTAGACACACGTCATATGGTTAAAATTCCTTTGCTCCTCTCTTTCTCGGCATCTGACAGTATTTGTTAAGCACCCACAAGACTATCCCACAAATAGGGCAATATATAAATAAGTTGTGGTTGAAATCATAGTGTTGACTTTCAAATTTTGCACCTCAAGTTCCAGTATTCCCATCTTTGAAATAAAACAATCAGAAAGTGAATGCAATCAAAATATTTCCATGGCATAACTTGAAGATAAGATGCCTTTATATCCTGGAAATACTTTTGGTGCCTGTTCAGATAGTCGTATGGGTTGTTTCCTGAGTAACTGCAGCACTTAACTGGTTTGAAGTTACATCCACTTCAGTTTCTTATGGGAACATTCACTGATGCTGGCCAACATGGAAGAAAGGAAACCAGACTTGTTTCTCCATTCAAGGAAGAAAGTTAATTAAAAAAAATCCATCAGAATTATTGAAACTACTATTCTTAGAGGGAATATTGTAAATGCTAGATTTAAAATGACCCAAAAGACAAAGCATAAAGGTTAATCTGATTTTGCAGTGTACAAACGGCAACTTTATAATGAACACTACATCCAGTGAGTTAGGTTATAAAATTATTTTACTGTCAAAAAATAGACAAGTTACAATTCAAGTTTCCTTAAAGGAACATTTCAATTTCATTGCTCACTGCAGTAACTGGTTAACAATATGCAGTGATTAAAAAAATATACCATTAGACAAACTCATAAGCAATCAATGCTTGCTAATCCATCTGTCCTAATACAATGACGAAAGGAGCAGGTTTGATGGCACTGAATGCTTGTTACAAAAAAAACAATGTGGGAAAAAAACATCCCAAATAGTGCAACACAAGTCCTACCATAAAAAAAAGTGCAAATTGCTCTATCATGGAGTTACTGCAAGTGTCAAACATGCAACTTATTCCCCTGCCCCATGTGTATTACCTAAAACTTTAGTGCACAAGAGTCATTTGTTTAATGACATTAACCAGTTAAGATTTAACGTACCAGTCTCATAAGCGTCACATTGGAGTTTGCCCATCCTAAACTAGAGGACTTTTCATTTTACTTTAATCGCTATCCCACATTTGCATACTTCAAGTTGTATCAACCAATTTAATAATCCAAATTTTTAAAATAGACTAAACATTCAGGGGTTGAAGACTGAAAAGGGGAAAACAACTAAATCTGCATCGTTTATGAAACTTGGTGTTACTATTCCAGTTATAATGCATTACAGGAACATGCTTTGCCTACAGATATGAAGGTCATATTAATCAGATAATTCGACAAGCTGTTTTAAATGAAGCCATATGCCCAGGATAATTTCCATCTGACTGATAATCCTAGTCATGTTAGATGTAAAATACAGATGGTAGGAACTACACAAATCAAAGACATGTGCATTCTATAATGCATTGGAAGGGAAGCTTAAAAATCACACTGAAGTGACCCTGTCACACCATTGAACAGAACATGGTTTTGTAGGCATTACTGAATATGGGTAGAATATGGAGCAATAATGAGTTGCTAATGCAATTGTGAATTGCTGACATGGAAGAATGAAGTAAAGCTACCAAGTAGAATACTAAATGTTTCGATTTTTAGCACTCTATGACCGTTCCAGCCGAAGAAGAATACAATTTATTTTTGATTAGGCGAAAGCCAGGACTAAGTTTCAGAGCTTGCCTGAACCCAGGTGCAAAACAGGTGCCAATGAAGAAAAAATCCCGGAGGCTTGGCCAGGTATTATCATCCTGCTTGAAGATTAAGGTCAATTCAAAAGTTGGAATTACACTGGAATCATATACAATTCTGTCCAATTTTTTACACATATTCTCAATTTCCAGATTGACATAGATAATGGACCCTCGCAAACCACAAGGTTCACTGGAAGAAAGGCAAAGCACGTCTCTGGCAACCCTTCTAATCAGTCTTTCAGGGACCAGAACTTCAGAGCAGTGTAGCTTAGTCTTTTTGGCTCTGGACAGACAGTTCTCAAAGAGTTTTGTTAGGTGCTGACATGTTTGCTCCTGAAAGACTTCCTCATTTATGCTGCATTCAGTCAGATTGCAATCCCAATAATCAAGATCTGCAAGAAAGAAAAATCATGATTTACATGAATGTTAAAAATACGCTCAATCAGAACAGCAACCCAGTGGGTTCATGTATAAATGAATGGCATTATTTAAAGTTAGGAACATTCCAAGTTTCATCCATAGTTGTGCTGAGTTTAACGTCTTCAATTCAATCGGCAAAAAGCAGCATTAAATTGAGCTTCAGTGTCCCCGGACTGGGGGAGGAGCAAAGGTTCAAGTTTATCCAACAACTGCATGACATCAGCCAGAAGACTTATTTTTTCCATATGCCTTTTCATCCTACCCACCCGATAAAAATTGGTTGCAATAAAAGATCATGCTAGAAAAAGAACACGACATCTAACACTTCCACCACCCCCACCCCAAAATGACACCACCTATAGCAGCCCATTCCCACCATCTTCCCCTGACCCCACAGCCACCCACCCCGGCCCCCAAAGCTGTCCAGCCCACCAGGACTGTCCTCCTGATGTGACCAGTGCTATATTGGAGGCAGGTACATTTTGTCTACAGCAGTGTTTGCTTTGGTCAGCCAGGTGTCTGACATGTGGAAACCCATCACTATGCTTAGGAGTATCCAAATCAAACTGAAATTTAAATGTATCCCACCTACACATGGGAAATCCAGGGACAGATTGTTGGAATGGAATGCACACCCTCTCCTTGGAGGGATGCACCGTTTACCTAATTCTGGAGAGTATTAGGTGCAGGTTGGCATGAACCAAGGCTTGGGGACCCCAGAGTGTGTGTTGGGGTAACTGATGGAGTCTAACCAGCTAAAACCAAATAGCTTGCCATTGATATCGCAGTCTGGCAAGCTTTCCCACTGCTTGTCCAGCTAGGACCACCCTACCAGTTAGGGCTTTGGCTTGCAGGGTTAACAGGAGCTGAGTGGGATGACTCCCTGCCTCCAGTGACTGCGCTACGAGGTGGTGCTGCTGAGCTGTCATCAGTGCCCTGGAATATTACGGACCCGCGAAGCTCAGGAACTGGACTGGAGACAGTCACTGAGGGCTGACTCGATTCTGTCATCCCGAGGTGACAGGAAGCACAGTCAAAAAGGAAGGTTTTCAGGCGGGACTTGAAAAAGGGGAGATAGGCCGGTGCCAGTTGAGAGGAGGCCCCGAGTGATAGATTGGGGATTGAGGAGGTCAGTGAGATAGGGAGTGAAGGGATTTGAACACGAGTGTGAGGAACTTGAAGTTGATCTGTTTGGTGATGGGGAGCCTGGCTAGAACTGGTGAGATGGGGTATGGCGTTTGGGCCCGGTATGTATGCAAGCAGCATACTTACCTGGCATATATAGGATAATAATAATAATCCTTATATTTGACATAGTGCCTTACTACATCTTTGAGACATCTCAAAGCGCTTCACAGAATAAACTGCAAAGTGAATTGACTGTACATTTTGTGGGCAAAACATTAAAAAAAACAGAATTTTGTTTTGAACAAGTTCCTTCTGTACAGATCTGCATTGATCATGCAGTACATTTAGAAAACAAATGTAATGCACGTAAGGATTTAAATCCCAAACAGCAATATAATTCACCACCCAACCATAGCAATCTGCTATAATGCTGATGGCTGCAGTAAGATAGTTAGCTAAACAAGCAGTCACTACACTGAAGGGTAATTACCTGCAAAGTACTTAGATACTTATAGTTACTGTATCAAACGCTGGCTTTTTAAATTAATTCAACTGCACTATCACCATGTAAAATATAAAACTGTTCTTTATGTACATAATCATTGAATCTTACAGCACAGAAGGAGACCATTTGGCCCACTGTCCACTCCCCCTCTCTTACCCCATAGCCCTGCAAAGTTTTCTGGTTCAAGTACCTATCTAATGCCCTTTTGAAAGCGATTATCAAAAAGGGGGTTAGGGAAGGGGATGGTGAATTATAACTCCTGTTTGACTGATTATTATTATTATGATTATTATGGTCAGCTCCCTCTCCTGATTGTTCGGCTATTGCTCCCCTCCCTCTAACCCAAGATACCCAGAGCCTATCGCAGCATCACCACAAAATATACAGTCAATTCACTTTATAATATACTTTGTGAAGTGCTTTGAAATGTCTCAAAGACATAAGAAGGCACTTTATCAAATGCAAGGATTATTATTAAAGCATCAGGCAACTCAGCAACAACGCAAGGACACCAAAGCCAAAACTTGGCACCTTCTGCAACTGGTCGGTTGAAAGCACCAAGGGAGGGAGAGGAGACCCTGCCTTTATTCCCTTAAGTCACTGGATGCGTGACTCGAGAACTCCTGAGAATCACGGAATAGCTACACACTGAAGCCTTTCTCCTGGGTACCGCCTCCGACTGTGCCTTACTCCAGACGCAGCCAAAACACTGGTCCATGCATTAGTCATCTCCAGACACGACATTTCAAATGCCCTCCTCGCCAGTCTCCCCAACTCCATCATCCATAGGATCCAGCTAATCCAAAACTGGATACTCATCTGTACTAAACTCCGTACGCTCATCACACCAGTTCTAGCCAGGCTACACTGCGTTGTCTGTGTCGGTGCCCGTGGTGCCTGTGTCGGTGCAAGCAATGCTGGTGCTGTCTGTGTTGGTGATGTTCGTGTGGGTGCCTGTGTGGGGGCTGGGCAGTGGCGGCGCTGGGTCGGGCGGGGGGCTGGCGGTGGTTGTGTTGGTGCTGCTTATGGTGGTATTGGTGGTGGCTGTGTTGGTGGTGCTGGTGCTGGCAGTGGTGGTGTTGTCGCTGGTGGTGTTGGCTGTGTTGGTGCTGGTGGTGTTGGTGTTGGCTGTGTTGGTGCTGCTTGTGCCGGCTGTGCTGGCGGTGGCTGTGTTGGCACTGGCGATGGCTGTGTTGGTGGTGCTGCTGCTGGTAGTGATGGTGGTGCTGCTGCCGGCAGTGGTGGTGCTGGTGGCATTGGCGCTGCTTGTTGTGGTGTTGGTGGTGCTGGTGTTGTGGCTGTGTTGGTGGTGGCTGTGTTGGTGGTGGCTGTGTTGGTGGTGGCTGTGTTGGTGCTGGTGGTGGCTGTGTTGGCGGTGGCGGTGCTGGTGGTGGCTGTGTTGGTGGTGTCTGTGCCGATGCTGGCTGTGCCGATGCTGGCTGTGTCGGTGCTGGCTGTGTCGGTGCTGGCTGTGGTGGTGCTAGTAGTGCTGGTGGTGGTGGTGGCACTGGTGGCTTTGGCGCTGCTTGTGGTGGTGTTGGTGGTGGCTGCGTTGGCGCTGGCGGTGTTGGATAACTGGATAGTCATCTGTACTAAACTCCGTACACTCATCACACCAGTTCTAGCCAGGCTACACTGCGGTGTCTGTGCCTGTGGTGCCTGTGTCGGTGCAAGCGATGTTGGTGGTGGCTGTGTTGGTGCTGGTGATGTTCGTGTGGGTGCCTGTGTGGGGGCTGGGCAGTGGCGGCGCTGGGTCTGGTGGTGGGTCGGGAGGGGGGCTGGGTAGGGGGCTGCTGGTGGTTGTGTTGCTGCTGGTGGTTGTGTTGCTGCTGGTGGTTGTGATGCTGCTGGTGGTGGTAGTGGTGCTGGTTGTGTTGGTGCTGGCAGCGTTGGCGCTGCTTGTGCTGGCGCTGGCTGTGCTGGCAGCGCTGGTGCTGGCGGCGGCTGTGTTGGTGCTGCTGCTGGTGCCGCCGATGGTGGTGGTGCTGGTGGCAGCGCTGGTTGTGTTGGCGCTGCTTTTGGTGGTGTTGGTGGTGCTGGCGCTGGCAGTGGCGGCGCTGGCGTTGGTGCTGGTGGTGTTGGTGGTGGCGGCGGTGGTGGTGCTGGCCGTGTTGGTGCTGGTGGTGCCTGTGCTGGCAGTGTTGGCGCTGCTTGTGCTGGTGCTGGCTGTGCTGACGGCGTTGGCAGTGTTGGTGGTGGTGCTGCTGCTGGTGGTGCTGGCGGCATTGGCGCTGCTTGTGCTGGCACTGGCTGTGCCGGTGGTGGTGCTGACGGCGGCGCTGGCGATGGCTGTGTTGGTGGTGCTGCTGCCGGCAGTGGCGCTGCTTGTGGTGGTGTTGGTGGTGGCTGTGCTGGCGGTGCGGGCAGCACTGGCAGTGGCTGTGGTGGTGCTGCTGCTGGTGCCGCCGGCGGTAGTGGTGCTGGTTGTGTTGGTGTTGGCGCTGGGTCGAGCAGGGGGCTGGGGGCTGGCGGTAGGTCGGGGGCTGCTGCTGCTGGTAGTGCTAGTGCTGCTGCTGGTGGTTGTATTGCTGCTGGTGGTGGTGGTAGTGGTACTGGCGGTGGTTGTGTTGGTGTTGGCAGTGCTAGTGGCATTGGCGCTGCTTGTGCTGGTACGGGTTGTGTTGATGGTGGTGCTGGCGGTGCGGGCAGCGACTGTGGTGGTGCTGCTGCTGCTGGTGGTGCTGCTGCCGCCAGCGGTGGTAGTGCTGGCAGAGGCAGTGGTTGTGTTGGTGTTGGCGCTGTTTGTGGTGGTGGCTGTGTTGGTGGTGCTGGCGCTGGCAGTGCTGGCGTTGGTGCTGGTTGTGTTGGTGCCTGTGCTGGTGGTGCCTGTGATGGCAGTGCTGGCGGCGTTGGCACTGCTTGTGCTGGCTGTGTTGGTGGTGGTGCTGCTGCTGGTGGTGGCTGTGTTGGTGCTGGTGGTGTTGGTGCTGGTGATGTTCGTGTGGGTGCCTGTGTGGGGGATGGGCAGTGGCGGCGCTGGGTCGGGAGGGGGGCTGGGTTGGGGGCTGCTGCTGCTGGTTGTGTTGCTGCTGCTGGTGATGGTGGTGCTGGTGGTGGTTGTGTTGGTGCTGGCAGTGCTGGTGGCGTTGGCGCTGCTTGTGCTGGCGCTGGCTGTGCTGGCAGCGCTGGTGCTGGCGGCGGCTGTGTTGGTGCTGCTGCTGGTGCCGCCGGCGGTGGTGGTGCTGGTGGCGGCGCTGGTGTTGGCGCTGCTTTTGGTGGTGTTGGTGGTGCTGGCAGTGGCGGTGCTGGCGTTGGTGCTGGTGGTGGCGGCGGTGGTGCTGGCCGTGTTGGTGCTGGTGGTGCCTGTGTTGGCAGTGTTGGTGTTGGCGCTGTTTGTGGTGGTGGCTGTGTTGGTGGTGCTGGCAGTGCTGGCGCTGGCAGTGCTGGCGTTGGTGCTGGTTGTGCTGGTTGTGTTGGTGCCTGTGCTGGTGGTGCCTGTGATGGCAGTGCTGGCGGCGTTGGCACTGCTTGTGCTGGCTGTGTTGGTGGTGGTGCTGGTGGTGTTGGTGCTGCCGGCGGCGTTGGCGCTGTTTGCGCCGGTGGTGGTGCTGACAGTGGCGCTGGCGGTGGCTGTGTTGGCGCTGGCGATGTTGGTGGTGCTGCTGCCGGCGATGGTGGTGCTGGTGGCGTTGGTGCTGGTGATGTTCGTGTGGGTGCCTGTGTGGGGGATGGGCAGTGGCGGCGCTGGGTCGGGAGGGGGGCTGGGTTGGGGGCTGCTGCTGCTGGTTGTGTTGCTGCTGCTGGTGGTAGTGGTGCTGGTGGTGGTTGTGTTGGTGCTGGCAGTGCTGGTGGCGTTGGCGCTGCTTGTGCTGGCGCTGGCTGTGCTGGCAGCGCTGGTGCTGGCGGCGGCTGTGTTGGTGCTGCTGCTGGTGCCGCCGGCGGTGGTGGTGCTGGTGGCGGCGCTGGTGTTGGCGCTGCTTTTGGTGGTGTTGGTGGTGCTGGCAGTGGCGGTGCTGGCGTTGGTGCTGGTGGTGGCGGCGGAGGTGGTGCTGGCCGTGTTGGTGCTGGTGGTGCCTGTGTTGGCAGTGTTGGTGGTGCTGCTGCTGGTGGTGCTGGCGGCGTTGGCGCTGCTTGTGCTGGCACTGGCTGCGCCGGTGGTGGTGCTGACGGCGGCGCTGGCGATGGCTGTGTTGGTGGTGCTGCTGCCAGCAGTGGCGCTGCTTGTGGTGGTGCTGGTGGTGGCTGTGCTGGCGCAGGCTGTGCTGGCGGTGCGGGCAGCACTGGCAGCGGCTGTGGTGGTGCTGCTGCTGGTGCTGCCGGCGGTAGTGGTGCTGGTTGTGTTCGTGTTGGCGCTGGGTCGAGCAGGGGGCTGGCGGTAGGTCGGGGGCTGCTGCTGCTGGTAGTGCTAGTGCTGGTGGTTGTATTGCTGCTGGTGGTGGTGGTAGTGGTACTGGCGGTGGTTGTGTTGGTGCTGGCAGTGCTAGCGGCATTGGCGCTGCTTGTGCTGGCACTGGCACTGGCTGTGCTGGTGGTGGTGGTAGCGGTGCGGGCAGCGGCTGTGTTGGTGCTGCTGCTGCTGGTGCTGCCGGCAGTGGTAGTGCTGGCAGAGGCAGTGGTTGTGTTGGTGTTGGCGCTGTTTGTCGTGGTGGCTGTGTTGGTGGTGATGGCGCTGGCAGTGCTGGTGTTGGTGCTGGTGGTGGTTGTGTTGGTGGTGGTGCTGGCGGTGGCTGTGTTAGTGCTGGCTGTGTTGGTGCCTGTGCTGGTGGTGCCTGTGATAGCAGTGTTGGCACTGCTTGTGCTGGTGGTGGCTGTGTTGGTGCTGGTGGTGTTGGTGGTATTGGTGCTGGCGGCGGCGTTGGCGCTGCTTGTGCTGGCTGTGCCGGTGGTGGTGCTGGCGATGTTGGTGATGCTGCTGCCGGAGGTGGTGGTGCTGTTGGCGCTGCTTGGTGGTGGCTGTGTTGGTGCTGGTGTCGGTGCTGATGCTGCTGTTGCTGATGGTGCTGGTGTTGGTGTTGTTGGTGCTGGTGTTGTTGGTGCTGGTGTTGTTGGTGCTGGTGTTGTTGGTGCTGTTGCTGGTGTTGCTGGTGTTGCTGCTGTTGGTGCTGGTGTTGTTGGTGCTGGTGTTGTTGGTGCTGTTGCTGGTGTTGCTGGTGTAGTTGGTGCTGGTGTTGTTGGTGCTGGTGTTGCTGGTGTTGCTGGTGGTGCTGGTGTTGTTGGTGCTGGTGTTGTTGGTGCTGGTGTTGTTGGTGCTGGTGTTGTTGGTGCTGGTGTTGTTGGTGCTGGTGTTGTTGGTGTTGTTGGTGCTGGTGTTGTTGGTGCTGGTGTTGTTGGTGCTGTTGGTGCTGTTGCTGGTGTTGTTGGTGCTGGTGTTGTTGGTGCTGTTGGTGCTGGTGTTGTTGGTGCTGTTGTTGGTGCTGTTGGTGCTGGTGTTGTTGTTGCTGGTGTTGTTGGTGCTGTTGCTGGTGTTGTTGGTGCTGGTGTTGTTGGTGCTGGTGTTGTTGTTGCTGGTGTTGTTGGTGCTGTTGGTGCTGGTGTTGTTGTTGCTGGTGTTGTTGGTGCTGTTGTTGTTGGTGCTGGTGTTGTTGGTGCTGTTGCTGGTGTTGTTGGTGCTGGTGTTGTTGCTGGTGGTGCTGATGCTGTTGGTGTTACTGGTGCTGGTGGATGTTGACCGGCTGGTGCTGTGCTGGTGCTGTGCTGTCTGTGAGTGGCTGTACCTGGTGCCGGGCTGGTGCTGTGCTGGTGCTGTTGGTGCTGTTGGTGTTGTTGCTGGTGTTGCTGGTGTTGTTGCTGGTGTTGTTGGTGCTGGTGTTGCTGGTGTTGTTGGTGCTGGTGTTGTTGGTGCTGGTGTTGTTGGTGCTGTTGCTGGTGTTGTTGGTGCTGGTGTTGTTGGTGCTGGTGTTGTTGGTGCTGGTGTTGTTGGTGCTGGTGTTGTTGGTGCTGGTGTTGTTGTTGCTGGTGTTGTTGGTGCTGTTGCTGGTGTTGTTGGTGCTGGTGTTGTTGGTGCTGTTGTTGGTGCTGTTGGTGCTGGTGTTGTTGTTGCTGGTGTTGTTGGTGCTGTTGTTGTTGTTGCTGGTGTTGTTGGTGCTGTTGCTGGTGTTGTTGGTGCTGGTGTTGTTGCTGGTGGTGCTGATGCTGTTGGTGTTACTGGTGCTGGTGGATGTTGACCGGCTGGTGCTGTGCTGGTGCTGTGCTGTCTGTGAGTGGCTGTACCTGGTGCCGGGCTGGTGCTGTGCTGGTGCTGTTGGTGTTACTGGTGCTGTTGGTGTTGTTGCTGGTGGATGTTGACCGGCTGGTGCTGTGCCAGTGAGTGGCTGTACCTGGTGCTGTGCTGTGTCAGTGAGTGGCTGTACCTGGTGCTGTGCTGGTGCTGTGCTGTCTGTGAGTGGCTGTACCTGGTGCCGGGCTGGTGCTGTGCTGGTGCTGTTGGTGTTACTGGTGCTGTGCTGGTGCTGTGCTGTCAGTGAGTGGCTGTACCTGGTGCTGTGCTGGTGCTGTGCTGTCAGTGAGTGGCTGTACCTGGTGCTGTGCTGGTGCTGTGCTGTCAGTGAGTGGCTGTGCTGTACCTGGTGCTGTGCTGTCAGTGAGTGGCTGTACCTGGTGCTGTGCTGTGCTGGTGCTGTGCTGTCAGTGAGTGGCTGTACCTGGTGCTGTGCTGTGCTGGAGCTGTGCTGTCAGTGAGTGGCTGTACCTGGTGCTGTGCTGTGCTGTGCTGGAGCTGTGCTGTCAGTGAGTGGCTGTACCTGGTGCTGTGCTGTGCTGGTGCTGTGCTGTCAGTGAGTGGCTGTGCTGGTGCTGTGCTGTGCTGGTGCTGTGCTGGAGCTGTGCTGTCAGTGAGTGGCTGTGCTGGTGCTGTGCTGTCAGTGAGTGGCTGTGCTGGTGCTGTGCTGTCAGTGAGTGGCTGTACCTGGTGCTGTGCTGGTGCTGTGCTGTCAGTGAGTGGCTGTGCTGGAGCTGTGCTGTCAGTGAGTGGCTGTGCTGGTGCTGTGCTGTCAGTGAGTGGCTGTACCTGGTGCTGTGCTGTCAGTGAGTGGCTGTACCTGGTGCTGTGCTGGTGCTGTGCTGTCAGTGAGTGGCTGTGCTGGTGCTGTGCTGTCAGTGAGTGGCTGTGCTGGTGCTGTGCTGTCAGTGAGTGGCTGTACCTGGTGCTGTGCTGTCAGTGAGTGGCTGTACCTGGTGCTGTGCTGGTGCTGTGCTGTCAGTGAGTGGCTGTGCTGTGCTGGTGCTGGTGCTGTGCTGTCAGTGAGTGGCTGTGCTGTGCTGGTGCTGTGCTGGTGCTGTGCTGTCAGTGAGTGGCTGTGCTGGTGCTGTGCTGTCAGTGAGTGGCTGTACCTGGTGCTGTGCTGTGTCAGTGAGTGGCTGTGCTGTGCTGTGCTGGTGCTGTGCTGGAGCTGTGCTGTCAGTGAGTGGCTGTGCTGGTGCTGTGCTGGTCTCCTGCCCCTCACCTGCAGACTCCCTGTCGGCCCTCCCGGCGGCTCCCGCTCGGCGCCGCTGCTGTTCTCGGCCCCGCAGCTGTGAGCCGCACTCAGAGCTTTTGGTCTTCGAGCTGCTCGCGACCATCGCGTGAGAGATAAATTACTATATAACTTAATAAAATGTATTCACAAATAAATAATATAAATAAACGACCCCACCACACGCCGCGGGGCTGAGCGGAGGGCGGAGCGGAGGGCAGTGCGGGAGCGGTGCGGTGCGGCGCTGTGCGGACAGACCCGCCGCCCCAGCGCCGCCCTATTTATAGCCGCGTCCTTGTTACTAGCTGACACCGCTCCCGGTGACGTCATCCGGCCCCGCCCCCAGCCCCGCCCCCAGCCGGGCACGGGGAGGCGCTGCCATTGGCTGCCTCTGCTCCGCCCCGCGGCCAATCGGCGCTCGCCCCGGCGGACACCCCCTCCCCCCGCCTCCCCATGCGGAGCCCGTGCGCATGCGCGGGTGCCTGTGTGCGTTTACCGACTTTGTTGACACTGAATGTGACAGATGTCGCTCAGAGGGCGGTTTACAGTGCCGTGTACACGGGGTGTGCCCTGTGGGCTGTGTGTGTGTGTGTGTGTGGTGGTCCGTGCGTTGTGTGTGTGTATGTTGATGGGTGTATTGTGTGTGTGTGTGTGTATAGTGGTGGGTGTATTGTGTGTCTGTGTGTATGTTGATGGGTGTATTGTGTGTGTGTGTGTGTATATAGTGGTGGGTGTATTGTGTGTGTGTGTATGGTGGTGGGTTTATTCTGTGTGTGTATGGTGGTGAGTGTAGTGTGTGTGTATGAGGGTGGGTGTATTGTGTATACAATGATGGGTGTGTGTATAGTAGTGGGTGTATTGTGTGCGTATACGGTGGTTGTTGTATTGTGTGTGTGTGTATGGTGGGGGTTGTATTGTGTGTGTGTGTACGGTGGTGGTTGTATTGTGTGTGTGTGTACAGTGGTGGTTGTATTGTGTGTGTGTCTACAGTGGTGGGTGTATTGTGTGTGTGTGTATATAGTGGTGGGTGTATTGTGTGTGTGTATGGTGGTGGTTGTATTGTGTGTGTGTATGGTGGTGGGTGTACTGTGTGTGTGTGTATGGTGGTGGGTGTATTGTGTGTGTGTGTGTACAGTGGTGGTTGTATTGTGTGTGTGTATGGTGGTGGTTGTATTGTGTGTGTGTACGGTGGTGGGTGTACTGTGTGTGTGTGTATGGTGGTGGGTGTATTGTGTGTGTGTGTGTACAGTGGTGGTTGTATTGTGTGTGTGTGTACAGTGGTGGGTGTATTGTGTGTGTGTACGGTGTTGGGTGTATTGTGTGTGTGTGTTTGTATATAGTGGTGGGTGTATTGTGTGTGTATGGTGGTGGTTGTATTGTGTGTGTGTATGGTGGTGGTTGTATTGTGTGTGTGTACGGTGGTGGGTGTACTGTGTGTGTGTATGGTGGTGGGTGTATTGTGTGTGTGTGTGTGTATGGTGGTGGGTGTATTGTGTGTGTGTATGGTCATGGGTGTTGTGTGTGTTTGTATATAGTGGTGAGTGTTGTGTGTGTTTGTATATAGTGGTGAGTGTTGTGTGTGTTTGTATATAGTGGTGGGTGTATTGTGTGCGTGTATGGTGTTGGATGTATTGTATGTGTGCGTGTGGTTGTGGGTGTATTGTGTGTGTGCGTGTGGTTGTGGGTGTATTGTGTGTGCGTGTGGTAGTGGGTGTATTGTGTGCGTGTGTGCATGGTGGTGGGTGTATTGTGTGTGTGTATGTTTGTGTGTGGTGGTGGGTGTAGTGGGTGTGTGTGTGTGTGTGGTAGTGGGTGTAGTGTGTGTGTGGTGGTGGTGTATTGTGTATGTGTATGGTGGTGGGTGTATTGTGTGTGTGTGTATGGTGGTGGGTGTATTGTGTTTGTGTGTGTGTGGTGGTGAGTGTACTGTGTGTGTGGTGGTGGGTGTATTGTGTGTGTGTATGTGTGTGTGTGTGGTGGTGGGTGTATTGTGTGTGTGTGTGTATGGTGGTGGGTGTATTGTGCGTGTGTGTGGTGGTGGGTGTATTGTGCGTGTGTGTATGGTGGTGGGTGTAATGTGTTTGTGTGTGTGTGTGTTGGTGGGTATATAGTGTGTGTGGTGGTGGGTATATTGTGTGTGTGGTGGTGTGTGTATTGTGTGTGTGTGGTGGTGGGTGTATTGTGTGTGTGTGTGTGTGTATGGTGGTGGGTGTATTGTGTTTGTGTGTGTGTGTTGGTGGGTATATTGTGTGTGTGGTGGTGGGTATATTGTGTGTGTGGTGGTGTGTATATTGTGTGTGTGTGGTGGTGGGTGTATTGTGCGTGTGTGTGGTGGTGGGTGAATTGTGCGTGTGTGTGTGGTGGTGGGTGTCGTGTGTATGTGTACGGTGGTGGGTGTATTTTGTGTGTGTGTCTATGGTGGTGGGTGTATTGTGTGTGTGTATGGTGGTGGGTGTATTGTTTGTGTGTATGGTGGTGGGTGTCGTGTGTATGTGTACGGTGGTGGGTGTATTTTGTGTGTGTGTGTATGGTGGTGGGTATATTGTGTGTGTGTATGGTGGTGGGTGTATTGTGTGTGTGTACGGTGTTGGGTGTATTGTGTGTGTGTGTTTGTATATAGTGGTGGTTGTATTGTGTGTGTTATGGTGGGTATTGTGTATACGGGTGTGGGTGTATGATGGGTGTGTGTATGGTGGATATATTGTGTGTGTGTTTGTATATAGTGGTGGGTGTATTGTGTGTGTGTATACAGTGGTGGGTGTATTTTGTGTGTGTGTATGTATGGTGGTGGGTGTAGTGTGTGTGTGTATGGTGATGGGTGTTTTGTGTGTGTGTGTATATATAGTGGTGGGTCTATTTTCTGTGTGTGTATATAGCGGTGGGTATATTGTGTGTATGTGTATAGTGGTGGGTGTATGATGGGTGTGTGTATGTTGATGGGTGTATTGTGTGTGTATGATAGTCTGTATTGTGTGTGTGTGTGCGTGTGGTGGTGGGTGTATTGCGTGTGTGTGCGTGTGGTGGTGGGTTTATTGTGTGTGTATGGTGGTGGGTGTATTGTATGTGTGTGTGTATGTATGGTGGCGGGTGTATTGTGTGTGTGTGCATAGTGGTGTGTGTATTGTTTGTTTGTACATGGTGGTTGGTGTAATGTGTGTGTGTATGGTGGAAGGTTTATTCTGTTTGTGTGGTCATGGATGCATTGTGTGTGTGTATGTTGATGGGTGTATTTGGCTCTGGAACTCCATCCCCAGTGCCTTCGCCGCTTCCTCCTTTTCCTCCTTCAAGGCCGGTCTCAAGACCTTTCTCTTTGACCGAGCCTTCAGCTCCCCTCTCGACTCTCTACCCTCCTCGCTCCCTCCCTTCCCTCCCCTCACCCTGACCATTTCCCTCCTCCTCGCTCCCTCCCTTCCCTCCCCCTCACCCTGACCATTTCCCCCCTCCTCGCTCCCTCCCTTCCCTCCCCTCACCCTGACCATTTCCCCCCCACTGCTCGGTCCTGACCCAACTGTCCAGCGCCTTGGGACGTCCTCCCGACTTGAAAGGCGCTCTATAAATGGAATCTTGTTGTTGTTGTATTCTGTGTGTGTATGGCGGTGAGTGTGTGTGTGTGTGTGTGTGTATGAGGGTGGGTGTATTGTGTGTGTGTGTATGGTGGTGGGTTTATTCTGTATGTGTATGGTGGTGAGTGTAGTGTGTGTGTATGAGGGTGGGTGTATTGTGTATACAATGATGGGTGTGTGTATAGTAGTGGGTGTATTGTGTGCATGTGCGGTGGTTGTTGTATTGTGTGTGTGTGTATGGTGGGGCTTGTATTATGTGTGTGTGTACAGTGGTGGGTGTATTGTGTGTGTGTGTGTGTGGTGGTTGTATTGTGTGTGTGGTGGTGGGTGTATTATGTGTGTGTGTGGTGGTGGGTGTATTGTGTGTGTGTGGTGGTGGGTGTATTGTGTGTGTGGTGGTGGGTGTATTGTGTGTGTGTGTGTGTGGTGGTGGGTGTATTGTGTGTGTGTGTATGGTGGTGGGTGTATTGTGTGTGTGTGTGGTGGGTGTATTGTGTGTGTGTGTGTATGGTGGTGGGTGTATTGTGTGTGTGTGTGGTGGTGTGGTGTGTGTGTGTGTGGTGGTGGGTGTAGTGTGTGTGTGTGTGGTGGGTGTATTGTGTGTGTGTGTGGCGGTGGGTGTGTGTGTGTGTGGTGGTGGGTGTATTGTGTGTGTGTGGTGGGTGTATGTGTGTGTGTTTGTATATAGTGTTGGGTGTATTGTGTGTGTGTGTGGTGGTGGGTGTATTATGTGTGTGTGTGTGGTGGTGGGTGTATTGTGCGTGTGTGTGTGTTGGTGGGTGTATTGTGCGTGTGTGTGTGTTGGTGGGTGTATTGTGCGTGTGTGTGGTGGTGGGTGTATTGTGCGTGTGTGTGGTGGTGGGTGTATTGTGCGTGTGTGTGGTGGCGGGTGTATTGTGTGTGTGTGGTGGTGGGTGTATTGTGTGTGTGTGGTGGTGGGTGTATTGTGTGTATGTGTGTGGTGGGTGTATTGTGTGTGTGTGGTGGTGGGTGTATAGTGTGTGTGTGTGGTGGTGGGTGTATTGTGTGTGTGTGGTGGTGGGTGTATTGTGTGTGTGTGTGGTGATGGGTGTATTGTGTTTGTGTGTGTGGTGGTGGGTGTATTGTGTGTATGTGTGTTGGTGGGTCTATTGTGTGTGTGTGGTGGTGGGTGTATTGTGTGTGTGTGTGGTGGTGGGTGTATTGTGTGTGTGTGTGGTGATGGGTGTATTGTGTTTGTGTGTGTGGTGGTGGGTGTATTGTGTGTATGTGTGTTGGTGGGTCTATTGTGTGTGTGTGGTGGTGGGTGTATAGTGTGTGCGTGTGTGGTGGTGGGTGTATTGTGTGTGTGTGTGGTGGTGGGTGTATTGTGTGTGTGTGTGTGGTGGTGGTTATATTGTATGTATGTGTATGTGTGTGTGTGGTAGTTGTATTGTGTGTGTGTTGTTTATTGGGCAAGTTTCCTTACTCCACACACCTAATAATAATCCCTCCAAAAACAATAATAAATTGGTCATTTTCAATCTACGACTGTTTGTGGGACATTGCTGTGCGCAATTGGCTGCCGCGTTCGCCCACAAATATACAGTCAATTCACTTTACAGTGTGTTCTGTGAAGCGCTTTGGGACGTCCTCCCGACGTGAAAAGCTCTATATCAATTGCAAGGATTA